GGAGAGGAGTGCCACGTCCGTGGTGGCGTCACCCCATCCGTGCGTGACGGCATTCACCCTGCGCTTCAACCAAGCGACAGCAGGGGAAAGCCAGCCGCTGACGGTCAGATGAGCCACCAGCCGGCCGCACCATGCGAACACAGCGCGCCGCGTGACCTGCTCCGGTGGTGCAGCGACGCTATTGTCGCGCGACCAGTGCAGTTTCCTATCCACCAGCTGCACGCGCAGGCCGAGCAGGTGCGCGCCGTCCGCTACACGCTCCGGCGCTTTGCAGGTCAGGCCGAAGCGAGCGAAGTGACGCACCACGCGGTCTGCGCTCACGATGTCCTCGTCGACCAGCAGGTCGTCCACGTGTGGGAGCACGGCGCGCTGCATGTCGGCGTCCTCCGCCAGCACTGCACAAACGACAGCATCCATGATGAGCGGGCGACGTTGAGCCCAAAGCCCAGTCGTGTCGGGCAGTAGCGCTAGCGTTCCAGGCGCAGCTGCAGGTACGCCTTGCGCAGGTCCACCACAGCGACGCGTGTCCCATGTCGCCGCCACTTTCGGAGCTGGTCGGCGCAGACGTCCGCGTCCACTATGTGGGCCGTCACGAAGCTGTTGAGCTCGCGATAATCCAGGACAGGTCTCACCTTATCCCGATATGTCTGCCGCACCGCCATCAGCGGCACCAGACCGCGCGGCGGTCCAGCCACCTGTTTGTCGTACGGCATCAGCCAGCCATTACTGGTCCATGCGTTGATCTCCGCGTCACACGCCTGTCACGCGTCCGCGGCACAGGATACTCATCCACCACGTTGCGTAGACATTCTGGACCTGTACCATCCGTCCACTTCCAGGCGACCGTCCACGCTTGCTGCTCGCCGCTAAACCTCGCCGTTACGTCGACTGCGTCCACCTCCAGGCCTCGCTGGGTCACAGCTGCCGCCGCACAGAACCGCACGTCTGTCGGCGTCCGCACGCTGATGCCTCCCAGGGCAGTGATGCCACTCATGCCGAGCACGACGTCAACACCCAGCGGTCGGTCCGGCACTACCAGGACCTCGAGCGTCACCCGACGGTCCTTGGTGTTAACCACTATGCTGCCGGCCCCGCAGCATCTGAGTTCTTGGCCGTTAATCGTGGCCATTTTCACCGCCCGCGGTGTCCATTGTTCGCAGCGGCCAGTGTACACGAGCGTGTCCGTACAGTCCTTGTCCACCAGCACGCTGACCATCCGCCCGTTCACCTCCAGCCGGGTGATGGGCAGCGGGCCCCTTAATGGCGGGGAGACGGCGCTCGCGCTGACGCGGCGTCCCCCGACTCGTTTCCCGACCGACGCTGTGGACAGGCGGCGGCGATGTGGCCCGACTCACCGTACGTCCAGCAGCTTCGCAGTGGGCGTTTCGCCAAGCGCGTCGTTGGGGCTTGTGGAGGCGCCTCTGCATGCGCCACGGCCGCTGCCACAGCGACGCGTTCATCGCTGAGCACGGCTCGTGCCCGTGCGAGAACGCTCGCTAGGTCCACCGCCTCCGCGCGGGTGCCGGCCCGGATCGTCTTGAGGACTTCGTTTGGCGGGCCGGAGACGAATGCGCAGACGAGTGCGCTGTCAGGCACTCCGGCGAACAGGGTGGCGAGCCGGCGCAGGTCTGCAGGGTACATGTCCGCAGACTCACTAGGCTGCAGACGGTGGCTCGCAGAGGCATCGTAGGCCGCGAGGCGGTCCATGGCGAACGCGTTGTACAACGCGTCGCGCACGGCGTCCGCGGAGTCCCGCGATGCCTCCGGCATCTGCAGCCAGACAGCGAAGGCGCCGCCCGTGAGCCGTGCTGGCAGGACGCCGGTCAGGTCCACGCCGCGATGCCTGCACAGCACCGCTGCGCGCGTAAACCACTCCACGACGTCCGACGATCCATCGTACTCCGGGATGAGCCGGGCGTCAAACTGCCCGCCTCCATCCCGCGTGACGGTCCTGCTCCCGCTGGCACTCCCGCTGGCTGACGCTGGCGTCGCTGCGCCACCAGCCGTGATGAACGTCGTCACACCGCCTGCAGCCGCTGCCGGGGTCTCGGGCATTCTGGCCAAAATAGCTTGTATTCGATGATGAAAAGAATTATCGGTCGGACTGCCTCATATGCAGCGGTGACCTACCGCACACGACGCCGACGGGGAGAGACCCACCCCACGCGCCCGAGCAGCACCTCTTGTACTCCTTCCAAGGCTCATCCCCGCAACACGATCTGCGAGCGACTGGCCGGCGCCATCTTGACGCACCGCCCCGAGCCGTGATTGTTCCCCTCACTCAGACATGAGCCATCGCCCCACTCGCCTTACATGCTCACACACGGTCCCGGAGCATGGTCCACCGCTACAAGTCATCATAACTTCTTGTTTTCTTCAATTGCCAGAAGGCCCTGACCAACGCAGAAGACCCTCCGCTATTCGGGCTGCCGGCCACGTTCCTCTTGAACAAATCTTCCCCTGACCGGTGAGAGGCCCCTTGTTAACACAGAATGACCCTTTTAGGCACTGTGGCCCCCAAACGATACAGGAACGCAGCCGTGTAAATCGCGGGCTTGGCCTTGTCCCCGCTTGAGAAATGGGCCGCCAGAGCTCATATCAACACGCAGCTGATAGTTCGTTGTTTGTGATCTCTGGCCGAAATAAAGGACCGCTCTGTCTCGGGGGTTCCTATCGGTGCAAGGGATCATCTTGCTGACATTTGAGACCACGGCCCTACGGGCCGCGATTCCTTATAACACCTACAGAGAGTACTTCGGGCCCTTATGCCATCCAACCGGGCCTTTGATAGCCGGTTCCGGTGGGTCGCCCGGACCCCTCTTCGGGCCTCATCAAACACTTTCCTTGGTTGGCTCCGGGCCCTTGGGAGTACGGGGCCCTCAGTTAGGCGCTGTGGGCCCCTGACAGGTACAAGGCCCCCGGCCAATGTAAATCACTGGCCCCGGCTGTATAGCTGTATTGTGGGTCACATCGCGGCTGGACCACCCCACACACAACGGCGAACTGCCGCACACGACGCCCACAGAGAGACTCTCTCCACACGCCCCGAGCAGCACCTCTTATACACCTTGCAAGCCCACCCGCAACACGATCGGCGTGCGACTCGTCGGCACCACCGCGTCCCACCCCACCGCGTCCACGGGCTAACGCATCACCCCTGAGCCGTGAACGTTTTCCTACGTTAACACTGTCCTGGGGCATGATCTATTGCCACATATGGTCCACCGCTACAATAGCTGATTGAAAAGTGGGTCCTCAGGCCTATATCGACACGGAGCCGACTATGTGGTGCGGTGGTACCTGACCGGCATATAGGCCCATATCGGGTCAGAGGGTCCCCGATCGGCGCAAAGGGCCCTCTGACTGTCATTTAAGGGCCCGTCCCCGCGGGCCGGGGCCGCTGAACAAGACTCCGACCAGCCCTTTATGCCCTCCAATCAAGGACCCTCCGATCGGGCCGTCGATCGTCGGGCCAGGTGGGCCCTCTAGGCTCTTCGGACCTCTTCTAACACTGCCTCTGGCCGACTCGGAAGTCCTTGACAACACAGAGCCCCTGTTTTTCGCTGCGAGGCCCAAGCAATGTAAAACACTGGCTCCGGCTTTGTCCCTGCTTGGAATGGGCCCTTAGACCCATGCTGCCACGGAGCCGACTGCGCGTCGCTGGTGGTGCCTGACCAAAACATTGGCCTTTAGTGACTCAGTGGACCTCTGATCGGCACACAGGGCTTTCTGACCTGCAGTTGAGTGCCCGGCCCTGCGGGCTGGGCCCCTAAATGGGACCCCTGGCTGGCTTTTCGGGCCCTTAATCATGAGTTTCGAGCGATCCATCGGGCCCCTCGGGACCTCAGGGGGCACGTGCCCCTGTGCCCCCTGCCTGCGCATCTGTAATGGCGCGCATTTTAAAATGTGCTCCGCGCAAAAACGATCCCAGATTGGGATGACAATCAAACATATGGTATGCTGCTAAAATGTCCGTAATAAACTGTTGTTTCCTGTCGTTTCTCTGACTAATGGTAAGCAGACTGGAGCGTAACTTAAGTGAAACAGCATCTGCAAGCTTGTGCGGCCTTTCCGAATATTTAGAAACTTGTGCGTCTCTAAGCCCGAGTTGAATTCGACAAAGGAATTAGTAGACTGCTTGTAATAATGCGGTATTTGTCAACTTGAACATTATTTCTCTCGTCTGTCCCATCCGGCACGCCATTTGCTAGCTCCTAATTACAGCGAAAATGACGCACAAGATTCGATGGTGGCCGCCGCCGAATCACGCGCTGCCTGCGTATAACACCCCTGATTCTGATACCTGGGAACTGAGTATGCGAGCGTGTGATCTTTTTCTTTGGATAGCGTGCTTGCGTTTTGTGTATCTGGGTTATGACTTGCTGGTTGTCCTCTTTATCGCATGGTATTGCATATGTCCCGCAAGCTCGTTTGTAAGGCAAAAGCAAGTCATACTCCAACTGCATGCTGTGAAAATGTGCATGGAAGTGTACATCTACTTCTGAAAGCATTCAGGCAATATATAATTGATTTCCTGGAATTTGCAGCACATAATTATATGCCTCTAGTCATAGATCTTGTGGTAGCTGTAAGTGTGCAGCAAGCAATCCATGAGCTGGGTATTCTTGGCATGAAAAACATTTAGTTGGTCTGATGGTGTGACCTGAATTAGCACCCTTTGCAATCAGGTAATTACAATTTTTTAAAAAAGTCTCTTATGATCACCATAAATATATATATATATATATATATAAGCAAATATCATGGTATATACAGATAGTGATAGTGCAGATCACTTGATATTTCTTAAATTCCTTGCATGGATAGCTGCTATTTGATCATGGGAAGAGAATGCAGCATGGAAAGCAGGATGACTGCATGTCTGGTATCATGGAAATTAGCCCCAAAAATGTTGACATGTGCAGAACCCTGTGAAGAAGCTTTTCCAGTTGATTTGTGATGTCACCTTGCCTCAGCATTATCCAGCTATGATTGGTTTGGATTGGACACACCAGTCCATGCTGGGATTGTACATGTATGTAGGATGAATGTTACCAGCCTAGTACTAGCAAGGTTGGTTTACATTTGTTGCAGGTATGTTTTCATGGATGTGTCATGTGTCATGGTTGGAGACATCATTAGTAGGTTTGAGTGTTATTATGCCCCTATGGAATGTGGTATTTGCATCTCCCTCTTAATAGCATGTGAAGTACTCATGCTGTTTAATAATAATGGTTAAATCCCAAAACAATTCATCTGCCCTTTTTAAATCACCTCACCCTTTCAACATCTGTTGGTAGTGTTAAAGCAAGGTGGGCACTGATTACAACTAACATATATTGCACCCTCTTCCAGTGGAGATTGGCTGTGTTGTGTGCATTGGACAAGTGATATACTGAAGTATCAAGCATGGAAGTGAGCTCTCATCAAGAAGAACCTGTCTTCACTGGAAAGAATATCAGCTTTCTTGAACTGACAGCAGAGAGAGCAAATGAGATACAAAGGCTGACTGATGCCATTGGTGAGAATCTGGTGCCTTTCTCCTCCGGGCCATGTCGTGAATGTAATGCCGACGAGCTGTAATATGACAAGTCAGCTGCATCAGCACGTTGGATGGCCTGTTCTCTTTGGTAAACAGGTCAAAAGATCTTACAGGTGTGCTTGGCATTTTCAAAGGCTGTTTAAGAAGATACTAGGATGCAAAATCACGGTGTAGGTGCTCACTTTTGTTGTTGAGTGACATGGAGAGATCTGTGGTGTAGCATATCTACCAGCAGCCTGTGTCTTCATGCCTTTATGCAATGTTTTGTCATGCCAAATTTAATTCCACATTGTTCATCTTCTTCTTACTTTATCCCATATGACAGAAAGTCACTATTACAAAATACATCACCTTCCATTGATAACTGCAGTCACCAACAACTCCTGGCACTGAAGCCTGTCTGTGCACAATGTGCATGACTCTGCCTTCGGTCCTAGCATGCCAGTGCCAGCCATGAGCCAGCATGGCCATGGTGCCTGCGAATTGATCAACAGGTCTGCTGTGGTCATAATTCAGCTGCACCTGCAGCTTCAGACTGATTTAGTTTGAAACATGATACACACCTCACAAAGTTGTAAAAAGATTGATGATGACATTTCCTGATGCCACATGGGCACTGTGGAATGGTACATCCTATGATTTTGGGCACAGCTTGCCAACTTTATGTGGCTTGCTGAACAAAGAGCAAATGTGACAGTTGCTATTCGTTATTGTATTTAAACATTTACATATATGCCATACCAGGTGCAATATCTCCCGCGATACAGACCACAGAACACGATCTTTGGCTCTCACCATTCACATTTTGCACCATCCATCATAAGTCAGTGCTCCCCGGGCGTACGCGCCGGATTATCCTGGTGTGCGCGCCACATGATCTATACCAGCATGCATCACTCCTCAGAGAACCCGAACCGCACCAAGATGGCGTACCAGCGTCTGCCGCGGCACATGCAGCGGCGCGCCATGAGCCACGACCCCAGACGGCTTCCAGTGCGACTGCGTCAGGTCTTCGAGCAGCAGGTGAGCGCGAGCAGCCGCCCCATGTCTCAACAGCCGGCGGGGGGGGGGGGAGGGGGCGTGGGGCTGGTCGGATTGCTATGCCCGCTCTCAGAATCACTCTTTTGCCTCGAGTTTCCCCTACTTAGTTGCGCGCTCAACACACAAGCTCGGTGGCTGTGGTTGTACTAATTTCACTGGCGTTGCGGCACCCGCGTTATGGCGTGGTGGGCCCGACCTGACGCCTGCCGGAAGCTGGCAGCGGCCGACCCGTCCCGTGGCGTGGCGTTGCGTTGATGCAGCGTCGTCACCTCCGATATTTGACTATCACTGTTGGGCCTATATCCACGCGCGGGCGTTGGCGCATATCAGTGTACGCCATGGGCACTCGACCACACGGCACCTGGCATAAACGGCAGGCTGCTCTTTGGTATATGCTGCATCCGGCTCGAACGCAGCAAAAGTTGTCGAATGCAATGAGAGTGCCGCCTGCGGACCCTTGACGTCGTAAGCGCCTCACAGCGGGACATGACGCAACTGAAAGTGTCGAAGCGGCCGAGTCGGCGCCACCGTCGTCGGCCGAGCCAGCTGCTGCAGGAGTACAATCGGCGGCAGCGCGAGCACGTCTGGCTGGAGACGCACATCTGGCACGCGCGCCGCTTTCACATGGTGCGCCGCTGGGGCTACCGGCTGCCGGAGAGGGCCACCGACAAAGGCTTCCGTGCGGCGTACCGCGCCACGGCCCACCACTGTCTGGTGCAGGTGAGAGCTGTGGCAGAGGCCCACTTCTGTCTGTTGCAGGTGAAAGCTGTGGGGAGGCTCACCACTGTCTAGTGCAGGTGGGAGCTTTGGGGAGGCCCACTTCTGTCTGTTGCAGGTGAGAACTGTGAGGAGGCCCACCACTGTCTGGTGCAGGTGAGAGCTGTGGGGAGACCCACCACTCTCTGGTGCAGGTGAGAGCTGTGGGGAGGCCTACTACTGTCTGGTGCAGGTGAGTGCTCTGGGGAGACCCACCACTGCCTGGTGCAGGTGAGAGCTGTGGCAGAGACACACTTCTGTCTAGTGCAGGTGAGAACCATGGGGAGGCCCACTGCCGTCTGGTGCAGGTGAGTGCTGTGGGGAGGCCCACCACTGTCTGGTGCAGGTGAGAGCTGTGGGGAGACCTACCACCGTCTGGTGCAGGTGAGAGCTGTGGGGAGGCCCATCACTGTCTTGTGCACAAAGGATCGCCGAAAACACCAACGCTGTGTTACGCAGCCGAACTGCCGGTCGTGATACTCAGGCTGTTTGGGTTAGATGCAGGCGATTGAGAAGAGTAGGTCAAGTAGTATGAACTAGTGAGGCGATGCAATTAAATCCGGACAAACACAGTGTCCCGTTTCCACATCATCGTTAAGCTTCTTTTTGAAACCAGTTAGCTCGCGTCACCTTCATTTGCATTCTGGGAAACACTGAACGTCCGATATCTGATTGTTTGCGTCTCTAAATGCTATTACTTTTGGAATGCGTTTGCGACCGGTTGTCGCGAGCGACGCTTCGTGGCTGCAGCCCGGGCACCCGTCTTGTGATAAGTGCCACGCCTCCCCGCCTGACCCTGCCGCCGGTCGGCCACAGGACGTCTCGTACCTGTGCCAGCTGGAACTGGGCGGGTCGCAGGAGCGGCTGCTGGCCGCACTGGGCGCGCTGGGCGCCGCCGCCGCCGGCGCGCCGCACCTGCTCTCGGGCCGCCACCAGGGCCGGCTGCTGCTGCTGGAGCCTGAGGAGCCGCACCGCGCCCTGGCGCCGGTCGGCCTCCTCTGGCAGCCCGTCAGCGGCTCCGGCTCCGGCTCCGGCTCCGGCTCCGGCTCCGGCTCCGGTGGTGACGGGGAGGCCGACCGGCAGCGGATTCTCTGGCTATGGGTGCATCCGGCTGGTTACGAGGCGGTGCGCGCGGCGCTAGTGCGCGTGCTGGACCTGCCTGCCGAGCCGCGCGAGGAGCCGGTGCCAGACGGCCCGCTGGAGGCCGAGCGCGACCCCACGGCGACCGAGGCCGACTCCGGTGATGTGATGGACAGCGGCGGCGACGCCCCTGCGCCGGCCGGTCAAGCTGCAGCCCCCGCGGACCCCGCGGAGGCGATGGGCAGCAGCGACGCCGCCGCGGCCCCCGCCGGCACACCGCACAAGAACGTGGACCGGCTGAAGCTGGCGCCTCGCCGTCTGGATGTGATTCGACGCCACGTCGGTGCCGACGGGAGCGTGGCGCTGACGGAGCTGCGTGACCGCCTGGTGCGCCTGCGCCTGAGCGGACCCGGCGCGCAGGCGGTGCTGCAGGCGTGTCTGCGCGTGGCGGACGCCGCGGACGCCTCGTCTGCCGGGGTCTCGGCGGCATGCCTGGAGCGACAGCGCGCCCTCTGGCGGGCGGTGGGACAGGCACAGTCGCCGGCCGAGCTGCCGGCCGGCTGCGTGCTGGGGATGGTCGTGGACGACCCGCGCCGGCTCACCCCCGGGCGCCGTCAGATGGCCGCTCTCAGACCCGAAGGTACGCTACGGTCTGGCGCGGTGAGACGCGCTCAGTTCGGGGGGAGAAGGAGGGGCCCCGGTGCCGTTTGTGAGGGTGGAGAGTTGCGGGATATCGTAGTGGCGATGCTTTTAGTCATCCGGGTTTGTGAGCATTGAAAATCTAAGTTTTTGTCACGGCTTAAGGTATGGCGGGACAACCGTATGCAATTTGAAAGCTCATGATGTGAACCGAGAGGCCTTGCATGGACGGGAGCAGAGGGTCCTGTGAAACAGTCGTTGTGTTAGCTTGGAAACTGAAACTAAAACCCTGTGCGCTCTAGCTGCTTGTTTTTGAACGACCTTCGGTCACGGACTCGAGTTTCGTGTAGTAATTATCTGGACCTGGGGCGCATGTGACGTGCTGGAAAACCAAAGCCGTGGCTTGCGGAGTTATAAAGTGTGACTGGTGACGCGGTACCACCAGTGCCGGCCCGCAATGTGCCGCGGTCAGCCGACAGTTGCCTGCTGAGCTGCGTCACCGCTCCCTCGTATGTCCCCGCCTCTAACGCCGCACGCCCCTGCCAGAGCCGACGGACGAGCCTCTGGCCGAGCTGCCGGTCGGCGCCGAGCACACCGCTCTGTGGGACGCGGCCGCGCGGCGCCGCGCCACGCGCAGCAAGGTGTCCGACTGCGAGCTGAATCGAGCGCGCGGCCGGCTGCTGGTGCCGTCGGCCACGCCTCAGGCGCTCCGGCTGCCGGCCGTGCCCGTGCTGCTGATGCAGAACTCAAGTCCGCCCGGTGAGACCCGCGCCGGTAGAACGGACAGCGGCCCGGCAGCTGGGGCGGTGGTGCCCCCCCCCCCCCGCCCCATGGACGTTTATCGCGAAGAGTGTCCTTTCAGCAGGTCGTTGTGTGTTGGGTGGTAGGGCGTTGATGTGGGGAAACGCCAATCGGAGATTTTAGAGTCGGCCGGTCTGCATTGCAGTCTTCCAGTCTCCGTTCATGTGGCGTTTGGATTTATGTACACTCACTCAGCCTTGTGCCCCAAAACTCCAGTCATCGTCGGCATTCACTCGCCGTCACTCAGTCCCGTACATCGGTGGCGTGTTGGGGTCAGCTGACCTTGCCCTCTCCGCCGGCGACATCCCAGACTGAGCCGCCGGCTGACCTGCCCTCCTCCCCCTCCCACCCCCAGGCTGGGATCTGGTGCTGCCGGCCGGCTGGGGCATGACCTTCTGGGTGGCGTTGCAGTACCAGGGCGCTAGGGCCGGCGCCCTCCGCGAGACCGACCGCATGGGTGAGAGCACGTCCCGCGCTCGCGCCGCTGGTGCCGTGGACCGATCAGAGGTCGCAGAGGCTGAGTGATCCGGAGTCGGCGCTGGATGTGGGACATGCCCGCTGGCGGGTGGAAGGGTGTCGGCCCGTCGTACCGCCAGACATTGTATTTTTTTTTTTACCACGACGACGTATTTGGATGAGAGCTTGTCATTCGCCCTTGGTTTCGTTTTTGGAAGATTGAAAATACCTTTCGGAATGTCGACATGGATTGCGAAACACACACTCAGGTGGATGAGACAAACGCATGCAAATTTTTGGCTGCATTGCAGATTGGAGGTGATATTGGGATAAGGCGAAAGTTAATTGGTGATCGCTTGGGGCGGGGGGGGGGGAGGAAAGTCGTCATTGGTTGGCACAGGTACGAGTAAGACGGGTTATAGGACTGAGCCCGGCGAGAAATATCTTCTAGCATATGCGTAGACGTTTGCGATATTTCCTCCCATTACTGTAGTGTTGGCAGGCTGCGATCATGCGTAGTACGTTTTTAAGGCGTGAAGCCGTATCCGAGTATCATCGCTTAAGCATCCTTCAAGCTCAGCGCACGGAACACACATATTGATTACTGGTAGTGGCGTGTTGCAGAACATCACAATGTTTACCATTTGTTTTAGTGTCACGTGCGTCAAACGGCTTATGTTGAGTGCGCCGAGTGTGTGTCCTGTGACATCCACGCGGACCATGGCGCATTGCACCAGCTGTGCCGGGTGACGCCCGTGGAGGCGGCGCTCAGCGGGGCTGCCGCCGTCGGGCGGTCCCGGACGGCCCGCTGACCTGGTGCCGTGCTGGCCGCCAGCGCTGGAGATGGGCCGACTGCGGTTCCCGGCCGAGTTCCCAGACTCTGAGGCCGGCCGGCTGTGGGACGCCGAGGAGAGGACCCAGCGGCGGCTGGAGTACTTCAAGTAAGCCACAGACGCTGGGAGAGCAGACATGATGTCACTTGTTGACGGGGTCTTAAGCTTGCGCGATCAGTGCGTGTTGACTGTGAAGTTAAATTGATATGGGGCATGCATTTGCGTGTTTGTTGGATCCCATATTGCTGTCGGAAGGGTGCACTTTGCGGTGAGCCGCGGCGCCATCTGGCTTGACGGAGATGACTGGCCGGGACGTTTGAAAAGCTCACTGAGCTGTAGCCCCAACTGAGCTTTTCTTCACTGGGCCCCACCCGGGTGTCGGCCCACCACAAACCGCTGGGTGCTGCGCTGGCGCGGGTCCGACCGTCGCCGGTGCTGCAACAACGTAATGCCAACCCCAGTGTATGCAGTAATGTTGGCCGTGATTGTAAGAATCGCGGGCAATTGGGATCAGCAGCTCGACATTTTACTCGTCATTTTGAAGCTTGCCCTTGTTCCTAAAATTAGGTTCAGTTTGTTTGTTCTGACAGTCGAGGAACTGTACGCATTCGAAGGCTGAAAATGAGTGTACAGCATTGCTGCAGTAGCTCAAGGTCGTTTTGCTTTGTTGGTGAAGCCATCCATGCAACATAATCGGAAGCCAATGGCACGGGGGATGGGGGGGGGGGGGGGGGGGCTGGACGTCATGCCCCATGGGGTTCTTGCGTATCTCTCCTTGCGGTAACGGTGATCCCAACGTGGATCTCAAGATTATCAGTCCACCCTCAAGTGCTCCAGTCCTGGTCGGACCCGTGTTTGAATGGCTTTGTGATACCGTCCGTTTTTGTTTTTAGTCGATGCCCGTGTCTGTGTGAAAATGCCAGCTTAACCATGATGTGTTAAGTTCGTAGATAAAGTTAGCATATATGAAGTTAATGTGATCTAATATAATCTTAGTATACAAATGACGCCCTATATCGATGGAATGTCTTTTGCACACGCCCCGTAGTATGCGAAGCGCGAACAAGTAAAGCATGCTGGCTTGCCTTTCCCATTCTTAGCTGCTGAGCTGGTATGGATGCCGTTTTTACCTGCTAGCCGTGCTTCCGGCCAGATTTCAACAGCTTTAGGCACACCTTGTTCTTCAAGCATGTTTGGAAGGTAGTTTGGGCACCTTGGCGCATTGAATTTACTGAACTTTAAGTATGGTTGAGTGGGTGGAAGAAGTTAATGTATTTGATGTTAAAATGTATCAACTTCTTGCTTCTACCGTAACTTCTCACTTCTTCTTAGCTAATGTTATTTCGTTGAGAGATAATGGTGATCGTTTCACTTTGTTATTGAGGCAAGCGTTCGGAAGTTCGAGTGGAATAAACTCCGCGGCGTATGCGTTCCTCTGCGTACACTTGCGTGCGTCACCGCTGGTGCGGCATTCTGCGCTGCTGCGGACGTCACCGTCACATGTCTGTTCCCCTGCGCCGTCCGACAGGCGCCCTCCGGCCAAGCGACCCTGCTACACCAAGCTGGCCGTGCCCGACCCGTTTGAGTGTCCGTGGCCGCGGCTGCTGCGTCGGCTCTGTCCATCCGAGGGTGCCATCGAGGCTGGCTCCGTGCGCGTCTGCCGGGACCGCGCCACGCTGGCGCTGCTGAGCGCTGCACTGACGGCCGGCGGCGGCGGCGGCAGCGGCGGGCGCCCGCAGCTGCCGCCGACCGCCGCCGCGCGGCTGGTCGCCGTCCGACTGGGCGCCGCGGGCCGCGGCGTGCCGCGCGCCGGCGCGCTGCTCTGCCTGCCAGCGGCTGGCGACTCGGCCACCGCCGCGCTGGCCGAGCCGCCGGCCGCCGACGCCGCCGCCGGCGAGCGGACGGCGCGGCGCGATGCCTGGCAGCGCCGCCAGCAGCTGGAGAAGCGCCGCCGCCAGCGCTGCCGCCGCCGCCAGCAGCCGGAGCGGGCGGCGGCGGCGCGCGACGCGCTGGCGATCGAGCGCCGCGGCCAGACGGAGGCCATGGAGCGGCTCTTTCTGCCCGGAGCCGAGGTGCAGCCGCAGCGGGAGGTCAGTGCCGGGTCACCGGTGGTGCGGCTGGGCTCGGCACGGCGGCTGAGCTGTGCAGGTCACGGGGAGGACGTTTGTCTCGCCCCTGAAGGTGCTCCAGTTCTGGCGGGCCGTCGCGATTCACGTGTCTTTGCGTCATCAGTCACCGGCTGATGACCGGCTGAACAACTTGCCGTTCTCCCTCCCCCTGCCGCTGCCTCGTTGTCGCCTTGGGCGCGCCATGAGCGCGTGCTGGCCGCCACCGCCAGGTGATCGGTCACATGACGTGCTGGCCGCCGCCGCTGTGTGCCAGACTATTCACGTGACTTGCTGACCAGTGCCGCCGTCCGCCAGGTGATCGGCCACGTGACGTCGGGCGACTTCTGCCTGTCGGAGGCGGGCGGCCGTGGCACCGGGTTCGTGGTGCTCGAGGGCCTGCTGCGGCTGCTGGAGTCGGGCGGCAGGCAGCTGCTCTTCCGCAACACGGATGCCACCGCTTACCGCTGGTGCGAGGTGACGCTGGTGACGGAGCACTGCTGATGACGTCAAATCGGGGTCTCTGCGGGTGTCAGCTGGTGCTGGTGATGAATTGCTGTTGATGACGTCACGCCGGGGTCTGCCGCTGGTGCGAAGTGACGGAACACTGCGGATGACGTCATACTGGGGTTGGTCGTTGGTGCCGGCCGGCGACGGAATCCTGCTAATGGCATCACGTGTGAAATCCTACTGACGTTATATGCCAGGCTGCCGCCGATGCCGCTGGACAAGGCTCAGCTGTTGATGCCCCACGGGAGGCGATGACGTCACACCTGAGACTACAGCGGATAACGGACGCCGTCGGTGACGGGACGCGTTGTTTTGCTGCTGATTCTGTGATCCACTCGCGGTCGTCTACCGTGTCTAGAGCAGGTGGTGTGGAACGAGGCGTGTGTACTGCTCCTGTTCGGTGTTTTGTTTCCGCCGGGCTGGTTTGGTGTTGTGGGATGCGCTGTGGAGCGGTCCGTGAAGCGAATCATACGCCGTGCAGTGTTGACCGCCTTTTGTCATGCTTTTGTCATGCAGCGGCGCGGTGGTCCAATTTGTAATCGACCGGAAGATCCGATGTGTACACCGTCATGCCAGCTTCTGCTTCAGATACCAAGGCAAATCAGAGACGTCAGCCAATAAATACGTTGTAAGCATCTGCGAAAAACGTGCGGCTGCTATTCGACCCGTTTCAACTTGGCCTATCTTTCGCTGCGCCGCCTTAGGCTTAGTAGGCGAACCATCGCCACACCGTGGGCGTGGTGCTAACGTGAGCAACAGGGGCGGAACCAAGGGGGTAACCCGGGGCCCGCCCCCTTTCCCCTGGGCCGATATTTTTGGCGGCTGACCATATATGGCCCCCTGTAAAAAGTTTGAAACCGGTCTGACGCGGAACCACCGAGCTCCGGCCCCTCCCCTAAGAAAACCCTGGCTGCGTTCCTGATGACTCGTGGTGCGGCTGACACTAGATAACAATGACGCGAGGTTAGACGAGTTTGAAAAAAACCGTAGTGAACATAAAATGAGCAAATGGACGTCCATGCACTGGAATGATCGTGTCCAAAAGACGTTTGCACCGTAGCCCGAACGGGGATTGATCAACGATCTAATTCCCAGATAACGTGGCTGCCCATCTGTTGGGGCGTCTTACCACACGCCTCCATTCGGCAGGAAGATATCGATTAATCTTGCATGCGAACTGCTTACGGACCACTACTCACGCGTTACGATTTTGGGGTACATATTGATCACCAGTGATCAGACCACACGACTGACCATCCTTCAGCTACACCGTCGCCCGCTTTCGCCTCGCCCAAATTGCGCTGGCGCTCCTCCCACAAGCACTTTGTAGTCTTTCTGCAGTCAGAGAGTTTGACGTTTTTAAATACTGCGAGCCGCTAGTTGATGCGGCAATGCCGCGGGGTTCAGGACAAATGGGATTCGGTCAACACCAACAACCGTCGGAACGTGACAGAGCTACGATTCGTTCTCGGACGGGTGCGAGCGCGTTCGTGGTTCAATAACGCCGCAAGATGGCGTCTATCGGCGATCTGATCACCTCAGGCACTATGAGCGACACCTCTCGACATGACATGCGAACTGAAAGCCCAGTGGCTGCGTTCCAAAAACAATCTGCCTTGATGCACAATATTGTAGGCAAGTTTATTTCAAACTTAATTTCAACAGAACCTAATACCCCAAGCTGATAACACTGGCAGGTACACATCCGGACATAAAATCTAACGGGGAGGGACCCATGTTCTCGACAATTACTACCGCAGCACCAGGACTACCACTGAAAGGCACGGAAAGTTCAATCATAGCCGAACAGCATACGACACCAACGACGACCGATTTTGCGTGATGGGCTAAGCACGGGCGTGGTCACCTGTGGCGGCGCGTCCGAAGGCCGCGGACGGGGGGAGGGGGAGGGGGGGCGGCGGCCGCCGGGCGGCGCGCCAACACTGACCCGGCTTACACAGTATATATACAGAGCATCGGTGGTGGCGCGGCCACCGCGGCGGCCGCCGCCGCGCCCAGGGTGCACCGAGCCAGTGTCAGCAGGCAGGCGGGCGGGCGGCCCGGCCAGCGGGCGCGCGCCGCCCCCGGCCGCAGCCGCGGAAGACGGGCGGGGGCGGTCTCCCCTAGAGAGCGGATCGAATGTAGGTGGGGCAGGATATGCTGCGCTCGAAACCAAATTCACTTATATACATATAAAAATTAACACAACTAGTAAAACAAATCATACAATATCATACCATACGCCTTCTTCTGAGCAACTGCATGTGCGAGGAATCCAGAGCAAACCTAGGATTTGTCAAATCACTCCCGATTACAAAATTAGCATGGGCAGACCCCGGCAGTATACGCATCAGCAGTCATTAGGTTAAAACAGCGGCCGCCCGGCTCCTCCCAGGCTGCCGGGCGCCGTCCGGCCGCGCAACAATCCCCAAACGAGCGCGCGCGCCCCCGGTGACGGCCGCGATAGGCGGGGCGGGGCAGGACGGGACGTCACACCCACCGGGGGCGGGGCCGCGGCGGCCAGCACGCACGCAACCGACACACACATTTAGCTACACCGAGTTGCGTCCGACGGCGACGGCGACGGCGACGACGGCGGCGGCGGCGGCGGCGGCGGCGGCGGTGAGGGCGGAGATCGGGATCGGTGCCGCCGGTGGCGGCGACGGCGACGGCGGCGGCGGCGGCGGCGGCCGGCCGGCCGGCCGAGCGACGGAAAGGAGGCGCGACCGAAGCGCAGCGAGAGCGAAGAGGAGGGGAACGGAGCGGCGCACACGCCAAGCGACACAACCCAATCAAGACGACAAAATCCTCAACAACTCACAGCCCGTCTATGTACAACAAAACAGCGACGGCTGCGTCCACGGGGCCGGGGCGGGGGCCGTCCCGCCGCCGAGCGCCAGCCACCTCGCTCGTCAAAAATAACCCGACTCTCACAATCCGCACCGTATAAATACGAGCGCGCCGGCGCGTCCAGCTGATGGGGCGGGGCGCTGCGCGGCGGGCCGGCGCGCGCCGTGAGCAGCGCGTCCACTTTTGATTCATTTGGCACACACGCACACAGCGGGCACGTGACGCGCGCGCCCCGAGCACAACCGTCGGACTAGGTGGCGGTCGGCCGCGCGCCGTCCCGCCCGCCGCCCGCCAGCCAGCCAGCGCGCGCGCGCGCACGAGCGCGCCCGTCCAGGCGCCCCGCGCGCAACCGTGGATATCCGTACGTGAGGCACTTGTTGGCCGGCGGCCGGCCGGCCGGCCAGGCGGCCAGCCGCTCCCGTCCGCCGCCGCATCACAGGCACCCTCTTCGCAATTGAGAAACGTCGATTGCACAATGGATCACTGGTATGCAGACTGGGTGTATATATCACTTGGGCGAGCGGGCGCACTCTTTCCTGATGGGCCGGTCTATCCGGTCTTCAACTCGTCGGCGTTCGTCGCGCGCTTCCCTGGGGTCGCGCAGGTCACGCGAGTCCAGCGGCTCGCGGGCGTCGCGCACTTCACGAGCGTCTCGCGCGTCGAGCGGCTCGCGGCCCGCCTCGCGCGGGTCCCGCACCTCGCGAATGTCACGCACATCTCGCCGCACAGGCCGCTCCAGTTTCTCGGGCAGCGGCCTCCGCTTGTCCTCTCCCGGCTTGCCTGAAACACCGGGCCCACAGTGAGCTCACGGCTGGCCACGCGGTCGCCGGCCAACGACGACGGCCACATCGCTACGGACACTACGCACACCCGTCCCACCACTGCTGCCAACTTACGATAACAGACCGGCACGAGGGCCGTGCCGTCACGGGTCGGCTCAGACGAAAGTCGGCTGCGTGGCTCCCTGAAGCGGCAGAGGCCCACATCATCATCGATCCCACACACCGGCAGCGTCACCACGCCGCCACGACACCGGCGCACGCGCAGGCCGACCCCGGTTAGACTCACGCGCGCTGTTGGAGCGCTGCACGCCCTGGGCGGCGGCCGGCGGCGCGGCGGCGGCGGCGGCGGCGGCAGTGGCCGCGGCGGTGGCCGCGGCCGGCGGCGGCTTGGCGGCCGCCTTCTTCTCCTCCTCGCGCTCCTTAACGTCGCGCTCCTTAACCTCCTGCGCCAGCTTCTCGTTCTTCTCGCGGCCCCGCTGCGCCATCTGCGCATAGCTGAGCGTGGTGGCCAGCGGCAGCTGTGGACGCGGCGGGCCCAGGCCGGTCAGCGGGACCTCTGTTGTGCGATGGAATGCCGGGGGCGCTGGAGCCGGGCCCTGTACCATCATCCTGCTCACGTACAACCAGTGGAGGCGCCAGGGTTGCCGAACACATCAACGGCATTCAGGCCAAAACGGGCAGGTGTTCTCACTGCTGGAAATCCTCATCACCACGCCGCCAAAGACAGTCTCCACCCGACGGCAGCCACACCGCGCCAGCAATGTGCGAACAGTCACTAGCCCCTTAGACAGCAACAAACCACCGTCCCCACAAAGATTTCCCGTGGCAGCACGGAAGTAGACTCGCGCACAACGCCACGCGCCGTTCGCACCGGCCCAGACTCACCGAGCTGAACTCGTTCTCCTTGTTGGCGCCGGAGCCACCAGCAGCGGGCGGCTCTTCGGCTGCGGTCGCGGGCGCCGCCTCGTCGGCCGCCGCGTCAGACTTCTTCGGCCTGCCGGCGCTGCGGAGACGGAGAGCGGCGCAGGTCAGACCACCGCGACGCCGCTCCACGCGCCGGTAACGTTCGCACGCGATCGGACACCGCGTTGGGCGCCAACTATTCGCGCGCTTTTTGATGAAAGAAGGCGCAGTCAGCACATTAGAAGCTGAATAAGACATCGCATTCCAGTGCGGCCTACCACGGCGGTGAGGAAGGCAGAGCTAAGCGGCAACCAACATCTAACCTTTTCGGAACAAAACGACAGACCGTCAACTCGGCAAGAGAAAATAAACCAAGGTCAGCTACCCCGTGGTGTTGCACGCCCACAATCTAAAACACGAGACAGTTTCGACAAGCTGCACTGGCCAACTGCCCACCCTGCTCCATGACCGGGAGTCCTGACCCACCCTGTACATCCGACTGACCTAGCCGGCGGTGCCGACTGCGGCGGCGGCACCCTCCGCAGCGCCGGCTGCGGCTGCGTCTGCGTCTGCGTCTGCGTCTGCGTCTGCGGCTGCGGCTGTGGCTGCGGCGGCGGTGGCGGTGGCGGCGGCGGAGGCGGAGGCGGCGGCGACGACGGCTGCTTCCTGGCGGGTGGCGCGGCCGCCGGCGCCGGCGCCGGCGGCGGCGGCGGCGGCTGCTGCTGCTGCTGCTGCTGCCGCGACTGCGACTGCGAATGCGACTGCGGCTGCAGCTGCGGCTGCGGCTGCGGCTGCGGCTGCGGCTGCGGCTGCGGCTGCGACGGCGGCGGCGGCGCGGCCGGCTTGCGCACCGGCGCGGCCGGCGGCTGCGGCGAGCCCGGCTGCCTCCGTACGGCGGTCGGCGGCGGCTGCGGCGAGCTGGCGCAGCGGCGCGCCGCAGGCGACGTTGGCGGCTTTCGCTCGTGCATGCTGCCGTTCACCAGCGCCGCGTCGGTGGGGATGGCTGCGGGAACGGCGGCGGCGGCGGCGGCGGCAACGGTGGCGGCAGCAGCAGCGCTGACGGCGGGCGGGTCCCGCGCCTCGCCGGCCGGCTCCGGCAGCACTGGCGAGTCAGGCCGCGACTGCTGCTTGGCGCCCGCCGGCGCCGGCTTGGCAGCCGGCTTGGCCGTTCCCTTGACCACATCGGCGAGCCGCGACTCGAGCGCGGCGGCCGGCGCCGGCGGCGGCACCGCCTCACCCTCCTCCTCTGGCGGCGATGCCGCATCGCCGGGCGGCGCGCCCGGCAGCGGCGGGAACATCGAGCCCCCCAGGTCGAAGGCAGGTCCGGCGGCCGGCTTACCGGGCGGCCGCGCCTCGGGCGCCGCGGCACCGCCCGGCGCGCGCTCCTTGCCAGCGGCTGGGTGGGCGGCGCCGGCGGCACCCTTGCCGGGCCCGGCCGCCGGGTGCGGCCGCGCCTCGTCCTCGCGGCGCCGCGTGCGTCGGAACGGCCTGCCGGTGCGCTGGTCGCGCGGCTCGCTGCCTTGGCTGTGATGGCGGCCGGCCGCGTACGCCGCCTCCTCGCGCTTGGCATCGCCGACGGCGGCCGGCGCCGCCGCCACCTGACTAGTGCTGGCGCCAGTCGGCTGGTAGCCAGACACGGTCTGCGGCCCGGCGCCGCCGTGCCCCGGCTCGGGCCGGCCGTAGTCGTTGCTGTAGCTGCGCGCGTGCGCGCTGCGACTGCCCCGGCCGTTGGAGTAGCTGTGCGTGCCGCCCGGTCCCGGCGGCAGACCCTGCACGTGCACCGGCTGGTACGCGCTGTGGCCCTGAGTATTGTAGGCGCCCTGCAGACCCATACTCCGGCTGTGGTCCACAGAGCCGCCCGACTGGCTTCGCTTCGGGTTCCTGCGGGACACAAGGCGAGGCGCCGTCACAACGCCGGCTCCATCCACGTCTCGAGCGGGCCCTCCGCCACTCAACACCCCACCTGACAAGGCGACGACGCCCGAACGAGATCGCGCCGCGGCCCGCCGATCGAGCCAAGCCAAACAACGCCTGCCGTCGTCGGCGGCTACCGCTTACCTGTTCCGGCTGCCGCCGCCGCCGCCGCCGCTGAAGCGGCCGTTCGCCGCGCCATGCTTGAACGTGGCCTGCGGCGCCAGGCCGTTGAAGGTGAAGACGGGCGCCGAGCTCAGCTCGAACAGGCCCGTACTGGGCGTGCCGTAGAAGCCGGACAGATTCGGGAAGTACGGCTGCGGCAGCTGCTGCGCGCACGACACCACTGCGTCAGGCGCCGCTCACGCGCCGACGGTCGCCGAGCTGGCACCCAGCAGCCCAGACGGCACGGGACTGACCCGAGGCAGGGGCGGCACGGGACTGACCCGGGCCAGGGGCAGCACGGGACGGACCCGGACCCGGGGCAGTACGCGACTGACCCGAGGAAGGGGCAGCACAGGACGGACCCGCGCCAGGGGCAGCACGGGATGGACCCGGGTCTGGGGCAGTACGCGACTAACCCGAGTCCACTCAGCACAGCGTGCTACGGACGGGAACCGCGCACTGCTGGCCGCTACGACACAGCCCGAGCGGGACAGCACTGATGGAAAGACACAGCGCAGTGGCGTCGGCACGACTGAGGCCAGGCAATGTGGCGACGGGGATACGGTACAAAGGCGTCCGCTGCCACAATCAACTGGCACGGCCGTACGTTGTACACAAAACAGGCCACACAGTCGTGGTCGCGCATCACTCACATCAGTCAGCACCACAAAGGTTTAGCCTGCACCACACCAAACTATGCCTGGCAAAAGGTTTAAATCACAAAGCGACCCCTGCGGAAAGATCCCATCAAACTGAGACCGAGTGCCACAAAGTGCCATCTCCGGACTCGCTATCTCCGCCGCACCTGTACGAGCGCCAGAGTTCGGCAGTCACGCCCCGTCACGCATTACTCCCTCCACGCCGCCACTCACGTAGAAGGCTCCGAACTGGTTCTGCTGCGGCTGGGTGTAGGCGGCCGAGGCGGCGACGGCGGCGGTGGCGGCTGGCGGCGCCGACGCCGGCGTGCCCACCGTGTATGTGTAGCGGCCGGCCGGCACGCTGCCGTTCACCTGGTAGGCGGCTGGCGGCTCGCCGCCGCCCGGCGCTGCCACGAAGCCGTTCTTGGCCGCGCTCGGCGGCGGGTTGTACATGCGGTTGATGATGGGCTGCGCCTTGATACGCGCCATAATCGGCTTGCCCTGCGGGGGGGGGGGGGGGGGCAAGCGGAGCGGGTCAGTCATAGAGGGGGAGCGAGGCAGGCGTGGCCTGTGTTTGTCCATGTTCCCAAATCCGTAACAGATCTGGAAAGCGTGAAGAAAACCCACTGGTATTGAACATGTCGTTACCCAAGCGTGACTCACTCCCATCATCGACTTTTGAGGAGACGCCTTAACGTACATTGTTCGTAAACGAGCCAGGCACTGCAAAGCCTCAGAAGCCTCAAGCCAAAACCTCAGATTCCTCCCCGCGACCGCACAGACGCCTCGCTGGAGCTTGACCAGCTAATCTCCAGCGACCATGACTTGAGCTGCAGATAGCTCGCGAACACAGCTGGGGAGTGGCGGGGAAGTACTCAAACCCCGAGCCGTCAGGCGCCAGCAGCCGCCGCCCGCACCAGACTCACCTGAAAGCAGCGCACCTCCTCGCGCAGGTAGCGGTACGCCATCTGTGCGTCCTCGTCGGACTCGAAGTTGACGTACCACGAGTTGTTGAGCCGCGCGTTCTGCACGTTCACCACCTTCGGGCAGTTCGGGCTCTCGAAGATGGCCTGCGAACGAGCGGACACCACGCGTTGTCAAGAGACGGCGACTCGGGACGGGACACGCCGCAGTAGGCGCCGAGCAACTGCCAGGCCCACCTCCGCCTGATACATCAACCCCCTGGTAAAGACAGTGAAAACAAAAACAAGAGAAAAAAACGTTTTACCTCATCTCGCTCAGATTGGAGCATCCCCTCGGAACAACGCTTAAGCTGCTGTTTCATCGTGCTTAACGCGTTGGCACGCCAACGCCAGCACATCACACAGACGAAATGTCACGGCAGCTGGGCAGGACCAGGGAGGACGGGGACCCCGAGCCGAAAAGGACGCTTCTCCTGCGTACAGGGGCGGCTGTCAGGCCGGCCCGCTCACCTTGACCTCCTCCATGGGCGTGGCATCGGACACCTCGCGCAATATCACTGTGCACCGCTTGTGGTTGGGCCGGACGCGCGTGCACGTCCCGTCCACCTGCACGTTGGGCGAGTCTGCGAACGGCAGGGCGGCGGCCGGTCACTGCCAGGCGATGCGACGGCGCAGGCACACGGCCAGCCGCGCACGCCACGGCACCTGTCCGGTCAGCTGGCCTAGCCGGGTCTTGCGGTCGTCCGCGGCGCCGCTCAATAGCGCTCAGGAAAACCACAGGACAGCGTGACTGAATATATCCCAAACACCACTCACGAAACGCATCAACTGACGAAGCGCGCCGGGAGGGCATGCCGTGTGACGCCGAACGAGACGCGCGACGCCGGAGTCGGAGCGGAGCCGGAGCCGGAGCCGGAGCCGGAGCCGGGGCCGGAGCCGGAGCCGGAGCCGAACGCAGTCCGACATCAGTCACACGACGGCGTGACCATCGCACCAAAACCGGCCACCAGCCGCCTATCGTGCTCACCTTTCAACACCTGCGTGATGAGGTCGATGTTGTTGGTCAGCTTCTTGACCTGGTTGAAGTTGGCCACCGTCGATATAGGAACATACTGGTCGCTGTCCATTTGGGACATCAGGTAAGTATCGTTAGCCAAGTTCTCCCTGGAAAGGCGGAGTTCTGATCAGCATTTGCGATGCATACAGCTTCCGACACAGCCCGTAGACGCGCCGCCGCACCGCCGTAAGTGGCGCGCGCCCTCACGTAAGCCCCACCCCACCCCCACCCACGTTCATGCCGAGCTGAGCGGTCACAACAAACTGCCGACCCAGCCAGTGTCAATATCGAACGGGATCGGTCCGCCAACATCCACCACAGTGGCATCCGGTCACTGGGCAACCTCTGAGACATGAAAACAAGAAAAACAACAATGCGCTCTGGCACAAAGGCGGGGATGTGGCCAGCCCAGCGGCGGCGCCGACACCAGCCACCAGCACGGGCCGCATCCCGACACCGAGCATGCTCATCACCAACCGCCACCCAACGGCGCATTACCGGCTCCCCTCCCTCACATCCGTGGCGGCGCGCGCAGGCGCCGCGTTCGGCTCACGTCACCGCGCTGCGAACTGCGGAGAAAGGCCACACCACCCAAAATAGAACTTCATTCCACGGCCGGAGAAATCCGGGATAAATCGGTTATGTATCGACCCCGGACCCCGGGCCGGGCGCCGACACAACAGCAGCGGTGGCCGGGCGGCTCTCTCCCTCTCCGTCTGTCTCTGCCGGGCCGGGTCGCGGCCCGAGCCCGCCGTCTCACCTGGAGAAGTAGTACTCGAGCTGGTGCTGCAGCCGCTGCTTCAGCTGCTCCAGCGGTATGCTGCCGTCCATCTGCGGCGTCGGGTAGAACACGGGCCCGGTCTGCTGCAGCACGGGCGCCGCCGGCGGCGGCGGCGGCGGGCCGGCCATCAGCGGCTCGGCGGACGGCGGCGCGGCGCCGCCCGGCACGGCCAGACCGGGCTCACTGGCGGCGGGCAGACACGGCGGCCGGTCACACGACAGCCCGCTCGGGACGGTCTGCAGGGAGCTAACAGGCCCGGCCGGCGGCCTCTGACCGCCACCGACCCTCGCCTCGACGGCACGGAACAGACTGCCTGGGGTCACGCGGCACTGGAGGCCAGCAGCAGGGTCACACAAAGTCCACAATCAGGTCACACACTGCCTGGCGTCAGACCAACAAACGCGGAGGGTTACCCGCCGTACACGGACACCAGGTCACAGCCAGTCTGGCCCCAAAGCCAGGCAGACAACGTCACACACACACAACGCAGTTTCACCGCCGAGCACTGGGGCCACATACCGCTCGCCCGGAGCCACAGCCGGACAAACCCGAGCCCTGCCCCGCCGCCGCTGATGGTGACGTTCGCGGCTCCAAACACCCACCCCGCATGCATGCGCAGAACGCAATGCGTCAATGCATATACAAAGAGAGGAATTTCTAGACTTTTGTATAACGTTGGACAATATCGCGTATTGCGTTGTTACAAGAATTTCGGCTGGGAAGCTACTTTACCATGTCTGCAATTTCCAGGGTCCTATCTTTATGAGGCAACAACTGTTACTTTCAATTCATATTCACAAGCTATCATGACTAACCAGCAGAGCTCGGGAATAAAATAAAGTAAAATATAATAAGATAATAAAATTTCCCCCTAGCAATTTATCACGATGGGTATTTTATGAGGTCAGCACAGCGAAAACACTGACCACCACACAGGGGCGCTGAAACACTTGCTCATGGTGGGTTGTTCCGATTAATCTAGCCGGCCGTGGTTCAATTCAGGGGGCATATCGATGGCAGACGTGGGGCCGCTGCGGCGCCGGCCCGCAGCGCAGGTTTATTGCCAGCTCTGACGAGCGAATGCAATCAAATACTTTGAGGCCATCAGTGCAACAGGCCGCGACACACCGGAATACTTATATCGATGTATAATTAGACGCACAGGAACCTGTAGGATTGATGACGTTCCATGCAACAGGACGCCCTAATGAAAATAGCCTGGCCAGGAAGCATGATGCAACACTCGTGTGCAACAGACCGCCGTCGTCACTGGGTCTTTACGACACACTCAGCTACTGAGGCTAGATGGCGTCGCCTGCCTCCCACCTGGGGGTGTGTGGTGGGTGGGTGGGTGGGGGGGGGGGGGGGGGGGGGGGCGTCGCAGGTGATCGAACCCCGTACCTCTGGTTTCCCAGCCGCGCGCTGGCGACTACAGACCCGTTAACCACTGCACTATCTGCACCCCCAGCAAACCATCCTAATGCAACCCATCCTCAGACGTCGCACGGCAAATGTCCCCCACCCCGATCATGAAATAAAAGCATACCACTGTAAAGACAGGTGCCACACAGTCTGTATAATTTCGCGCCACTACATCTGCTCTCAACAACCATCTCAGCAATCGATCCGCCTTCTTTCACCCCCCCCCCCCCCCCTCCCGCACGGAGGTCTCTTCCGCAACACGACCTCGCGCGCAGCCAGTAGAGGCGCGCCAACGGGCCGGCGGCGCTGGCCCCGGCCGTGCTGTCGGCCGGCCGGTGTCCGCATCTGACTCAGCCCGGCCGCGAACCGAACAATTAGCACCGGCCGGCCCCGTCGACTTCCGCCGCTCGGCCCCGCCAGGCCGCCGCCGCAGCTGACGCAGATTTTTTCCGCAGCCGGGGCTTGTATTGCCGAAGACTTATAACATCCAGTCTTGGGACAAAGGTCAGTCGGCGGCAGCCGCCAACAAATGGTCACACAGATAAAGGGCAAAAGAGATATTAGGCGTGGTCAACTATTTCAAGCGCAGGAGCAGCTGATGGGAACCACGTTTCGTGGCACTTAGTTGGCATCGACAGCGATCCAGAAGTTAGATGATAACGTTCACAACGTGATTTTCGTCGCACATCGCACCACACGCCTCAATGTTTAGGGACAAAGCCTCGGCATATATCAGCATCCTCGGCACGCATCAGCATCCAAAATGTCATCAGCCAGCTGGCTTACAGACACCATATTGCCATGCCACAATGAATGATCAGCCATTTGCACTTCACACACACACATAAAAACATAACCGGTCGGGCATAACAAATAAAACGCAGAAACCAGCCAGCGCACACGACTACGAACCACTCATACCTCACCCGTCCCGGTGTAAACACAACACAATACAACACAAAACAACACGATACAGGGCAACACAACACAACACTCGTGCCTTACGGCCCCCATGGGATACGCCTGGCTCAAGACTGACTCGAACCACCGACCTAATAGTCAGATCCAATTGCGATTTCCGACCCTCGGCAATCAAACATGATCGTGCGAGGAATTCGTTAGCTCTCCGACAGTGAGCGACGTTCCATTTCGGTCATTGATCTATCAGTCCGCATGCATATTCGAGCTCGGCGCCTATACAGACACGCAATTGCAACTGTCGCTTCAATCGTCATGCACAACGGCAACACGTAAAGATCACTCCTCAGATTGTCAAAAGCTGATGAATGCAGCCAACCATCACGACCGTCCCGTAATTATCATATTAAGAGAAAACCAAAACTGCTACATCACAAAATAAGATACAACTCCTAAGTACCCAAATCATTAAAAGGACTGGAACCAACGTCAAACTCGGCCAACGCGACCGATTTGCTTCTCAACTTGCCAATCCGTACAGCAAATTAACTGTTCAGTGCCGTTCTAAAACTGGTAAATGTACGGGATCAACTAAACCGATTTTCTACATTGTTGCAAAAATGCCTTTACGAAAGACATCTGCGAGACTTCGAATGCTACCGGCAGTCGGTACAATCATATACTGTAAGTACTAGAGCCATACATCTGACCGCATACTGTCAGGGTTTTTACCTGTGCCACGGAATGGGTACGAAAAGGAATGATGGGTAGGCGTCGGAAGATGATACCAGCTCTGGTACCAACCAAACGTCACGCGTCTGGCACTGAGCTCAGAGCATCGTGGCTGCCGGTACGATGAAGTGCTACCAGTAACACTGAATGAATGCCTTGCAAGATGATACCAGCTCTAGAATCAAACGTCATGCCTCTGGGACTGAGCTCAACCATCGCGACTGGTATGGATGCAATGCCATGTCGCCAGCTGTATTTCAGCACATCTGTAATGCCAGGGCCCTGAGCCGGTGCCAGGCTTGGGTTCAGGCTTATGGTAGTCACGACCCACGCCGAACCCGGTCCTTGTCTGGTGGGGCCCAGACCACAGACAGCCAGGTTCATGCCTTTTGGCTATTACAACAGGCGCTTTTGGCCTGTAATCGGACTTGGAGTGGCGCAACTCAAAACAACAATTTTTCTGGGTCACAGACCCCGGATCTGGGTACGACGCTTGAGATTGCACTCGGAATCAGACCATAACTCCGACATGCAACATAAAACTGACCACATTTCCAAGATTAGTCGTGCAAAAATGCATTCCCAGGAAAAGCAACACTATCAGTGGTGTAGCTCACGATGTACCGGCCGCACCACAAACACAAACGCAGAACATGTTATATAAGGCCCCAAAAATCCGTTCGGGCTTTATGCCCACCATAGTAAATAGGATATAGCCCGAAAAAGAACGCAGTACCCCCGAGATGCTGTATGCTGAACTATCAATATCGCTTAACCTAGCTTCAAAACTGATCATGTGTCTTGCAACAACAGGCACTTTTACATGCATCGGAAATTGCGAGAAAATACACCTCATTTTCACCGCCCTTTGTAGTTCCTATCCAATGAATGCCCAAAACGCCGCAGCGTCCAATGTCACAGAACATGAATACAAATTTCGACACAAACAGCAAATGTTGATTCACACATCAAATGCAGCTGACACGACGTTTGCGGGGAGTTGCCTGACGGAAGGAAGGGTGTGAACAAGAGCCGACAATGTGGCTGGCATTGACAAGCTAAAAGTGTCCGGCTCCCTATCAAAAGATCTGCTCCTAACCTCTGCAAAGCGAGCCTTCACTGGCCTCGGTTTCCTGCGGTGAGACACGCCAGTAGCCACAGGCGTGGTGAGCGTCAACAAATGATCGAAATGTTTGTCGCTAGAAACCACACGTCCCTACTGATAACTCAGCATCCAACTTCAGTAGGAGCTGGTGTGGACAAGGTCCATGCTGCAATAGAAGCCACTTCAAAAATGGAAGGCCCGAAGCCTACTGACGCACTGCCATGCCAAAGACACGTATCTAAAGCCTTTCGCTTTGCGGTAAGATAACGGCGGCCCAAAAAACCAAAACATTGGCCAAAAAGTCCCACAGTCTTGCGCGCACCTGCGCACAGCTGCGATAATCCTCGCCCACATGGAGCTAACGCCACTGGTAGCAGCGCGCGGCGGGCGCGCGGCCGCCTGCCGGCGCGTACTCACACTGCCTGGGGGCTGCCCTGGCTCAACAGCCCGTTTCCGTTCATGGGAAGCGTCACTGCGTACTCGCTGACGGCTTTCTCCACACCATTCACGTATAGTGAGGAGCCTGCAACGGAGGAGGGCGGCGTCAGGGGCGGCGGCGGCCGGGTGTCATGACTCAGGCGGGCCGCCGGCCGGCAAAAACCGACCTGGCACGCGGGCCGACGGCCGCCGCACGTGGCCAGCCGGTCCGAGACGGCGCGCCGCGCCCGGCCCGGTCCGCAGCCCTCCCGGCGGCGCCCAGCCGTCAGGACGCCAGACGACGGCGAGCGTCGCCGACCGAACCGGAGGTAGCCCACCCACCGAGGGCGACGCTGACGTAATGACCTGGGCGTGCTGTCCGCTCCTGACATACATGGCATACCACAGCAGCAACAAAACAAAACATCCGCTTAAATCATTCATCCTTTGCTGCACCAATTCAACTCAATTAGTATACAATACTGTTGGTTGTTTAGTGCAATCGCCAGGGACATGGTGTGGATAAATAACACAGCAATCATAGTTTTATTCTACAAGGAATAAGGCCATTAGTAGTGTACTTTTTATAAAGATCACATGCCCTTAAAACAACCATCTCTCCTGCCAGCCAACGAAACTCGAATATGCAACATGCATAGATTGGTCCTTAATCTTGTTTCTTTAGTCTGTCAGCAAGTCTTATACCAAATAACCACAACAAATGCAAAGAAACAAGAAGACCCAAAATACTCAGTGAATGAGTGCCAATGAATGAAATAACAATGCAACCTTATGGCCTAAACACAAGTCTAGCTTGGAAGTTTCTTTCTTTATTTCAAACCCTGCATCAGCTTCAGCAGAAGATGCACTAACAAGATGCCCATGTTATGGTGCGGGCTGAGTGAAATAATACATTAAGTGTTAATCACTAAAGCTGATATTACAACATAGAACATGGTATTCATCATCTTTCAGAAACTCCACAAATGCATTTTCAACATGTCTTGGGATAGCATTCTCTTGTGTGGATAGCTTGCAGGTTTCATGTTCAGATCAAATTTACCAGTGACAGCTTGACTTTCGACCAGCTTTAAATCAAAAGGTCTAATAACTGTGATTGACTAGAGGCCAGAAACAATGACTCAGTTTCACAAAACTAATGGACAACTTACATTCACATAAATTAGTGTTGCATAACCAAATGGGCAAAACATTTTCTAGTCTAGCCCACCCAAGAACACACTGATGACTGGAACACTGCGGACTGGCACATTTACAATTAGGGTAAGCCAATGTCTGTACAAAGCAGTCAAATAAAAAAATGCAAACCATGAAATATGCCCTAGCTGGGGATGGTAAGCAGGTGCCATCCCACATAAGCCAAGAAAAGTAAGACACCCAAAATGACACCCACTTTTTTAGCAGACATTGATACAATTTTTCAATCAATGACAGTCTTTATCACAGGCGAAAACAATGTCACAGTGAGGTATCACATACAAATTTACCCAAATGCAAAGAACATGTCCACCAGAGGACAGGTGACTGAGGCAATGCATTCCATCAAATGAGAAGGGCACTTCAGGTACAAAGGGGCAACACATACCCTGTGGGAGGCCCTCAGATAACTAACCTCAGACCTGTTGGTTGAAAGTCAGCCCACATCATCCACAGTAGGCCTATGAAAACAAAGGATGCCCCCCCCCCCCCCCCAGCCCAAGAGAAGGCCTTAATTAGACAGACCAAAAGCCAGCAGACCAAGTGGAGGTTTCCATCTGTGATATATACTTAAGAACTGGTGGATTAAAAAAAAAACAAGTGAGCAAAAACCATATAATTTCAGGTGAGGGCTTGGATAGCAGATCCCATGATTTGCTTTGGCAGACCTTAGATTAGCTTGCCCTCACCCTGGAGAATAGCTACTCACACACTCAGCATAACTCCAGCCCTCCAACACTGTAGCTCTACATATGTGCACTCACATGGCTGGCACATACTTTCTTTTTGGGTCCCTCCCATGAATGACAAGTCAGACAAGGAGCCTTACTGGCTGGGGAAACCAGGCGAGTGACGCAGTGTAGCTAAATGCATATGTTATTACAACATTACAGTGACAGAAAACAGCCTCAGCAATGATCAAAACACACAGCATCAAGATTCTCTACATCCACAGACACAGATAGCAAACCTTATTATGCATATTCTGATAAGCTGCAAAGAAAAACCAATCAAGCAATATAAAACACAAAGCAAGAACAAGTAAAATATAAATTAATAATAAATATATCATACATGAATGATATTGGACACAACGTAATTCCTTATCATATCCACTTTCATTATCACAAAAACACATCACTTCTTTGTGGCATATTTATGTAGTATGCTGTTATCCACCCAAGGAATTGCATTATCTATTGTGGCTTGAGTTGTCATTGGTAATTCAATAATGGTGCTACAGAATGGAAGCTGTTAAAAAAGCTAAAATAGTTATGTTACCATTGCTTCAATAATCAATCAGGAAAATCAAGGAAGTTTTTAGCAGTGCCTTAAAAAATTTATTAACACATTTCTGAAGCTGTTCTTACATGACAATGCAACATCTGCTTGAAATATAGTATGTATTTACATTCTGAATACATTTTGAAATACCTATTCCACCATTCCATCAATCTTGTTCAACATTGTAGCTAAATATGAAAGGTGAAATATCTTTCCTGTGTGATCCATTTTCTCTAATATCACTAGTGCACACACATTTCTCCATCAAACTGATCATCTTCATGCAAAGATGTCCAAATTTAGCGACAAATTTCTGTGACTCTGAGACTTGCTGCTTCCATCAGGAGCCATGTATTGATAACTTTAAGAGCACAAATCTTGCTCCCACCAGACCAAGATGCCCAATAGCAAGCAGCCTGTGTTGCCACCTAGGTAAATGATAGACCATGCATGGAAATGTGAAAAATAAAGCATGTGAATGTTGAATGGAATTGCCTTTGAACAAAACTGGGAGATGAGAAACAAGTACCAGAATCACGCCGGTCTGTAGATTAGCAAAGCTCTCACTTCCTGTGCCCTATGCAGACCAACTCAAACTTGAACATGACTTAACCTACCATTGACGACAAACTGCATTAACTGCCAAGGATGCAACAAAGATTCATAGAACACCGCACGCCCAATCACCTACCGCAGACCGCCGCCTACCCACATGCCACCACTGTGTCATGGCAATGCAAATAAGAGAACCACTCGTAATTCAGCGTCGGAAATGTCTCAACTATTCAGCGGCTTGTGCCTGCCCCTCAGCTCTGGTTGGAGGTTGAACATAGCAAAACTCAAATTGGTTTTAATGATTCACCTCCTCATGACTGATTTGTCAAGAGCGTAAATATGCTGCTCGTGCTGATGCCTTGAACAGATTTGTAAACATTTGGAGGGAAGCTGTACAGAGATATGAAGGACTTATTTGTACTCATCCAGGACCCCCATGTGGTTGGATTTTTGGCCACTTCCTGGAAACCGGAGTACAAAAATGTTATGGCAGGTGTCAATTTAAACCAAGTTGGTTTGTCACTTAAGGGTGTGAAATTAAAGCTGATAATTCAAGCTTTACAAAGATACCCTTTTAAGCCAAAGCATTGCTATAAAGAGCCAAAAAACTGTTTGGAGACTGCCATCTCACTCTGGCAAAAACATCAGGACATCAGAGTAACATGAAGCCATAAATTTTGCCCAGCAAATTAAGGGAAAGGGTTTATTAGGACAAAAACATCAATTGATTACAACATAAATTATCCTATTTCCCAATGATATCAGCTTAGGCAAATCAAAATCCATAAATACCTTGCATTACCCGCTGGGGTCAGCGGAGTGACCGACTCCGATCCCTTTTGGCCGGCCCACACAGATCTGTCAGGCATTGTACTTGCGTTGGCTCGGTAAATCAGTTTAGAGTGCTGCCTGTCTCTATTGTTCGGGTGGGACATGCAGGGCTTCCTGGTCTTTAAAACCAGCTAGCTGGTGGAGCGTGAGCAGCGTGACCGTGGTTGCGCATGAGTAGCATGATCATGATGGAGCATGAGTAGGTGGCCATCTGTGGCATGTTCATTTGCATTTTTTGTGTACCATTTTTGTCCGGCTGCGTGTATCGTACCCACCCACCGTTTTGGAGGGTGTAGAAGCCCAGTGTGTAACGCCCTCCATTTTGGAGGGTGTATAAGCCTGATGTGTAATTACCCTCCATTTTGGAGGGTGTATACACAGAGCCTTTCATAACTTGCTAACCAATATATATGCACATGTGTTTTATAGTAAGAGTATGAGACTGTGTTGTTTCAGTGTGCCATGTTTAATACTGATGTTTCTGTTCATTTAAAGTGCTTTCACATGAATTGCTGTATCTGAAAAGTGGTGCTTTTGTTGAGTGCCACCTATTGTACTATTATCTCCCAAGTGTACCTAAATACATTTACCTAATAAATTTACCTAATACCTATTACCTAAATAAAGCTGTAATGATCTGCAGTGCTTGGATAATTTTGAGCTCCACAATAGAAAATTTGTACTCCACTACCAGGAAAATTTTTGGAATTTCCAACACTGGACAGAACTGTGACCCTGCTCAAGACTGTTCACCACACAATGTTGCAGGACTTCATTGAGCAGTAGCAGCCAAGTGCCACCACACCAATTGTTCAAACCTCTTGCATTAAATGTACACAACCAGTGAGCTATTCTGCACCTTGAAAACCCAGCTCCACTGCAGGGCGATATTGTACGACACATGAATATAACCACTTCCCAGTCAATGTAAGCTGGCATTAAAAGTAATATTAATTAATTCTGATGTTTGTGGTGCCCACCTGCATTCACACCTCTTCAATTGCTAAGCACAACTTTCTCACTCAAGGATGCTCACCCTACCTGGATTAGAAGCCAGTTTATATTACAATGAGCTTGACCATATGCAACACATAGACCACAGGTATGCATATATCCAGTCAGAGATGCTTATAAAAGTACACCAGGTTTGTGGCAGTCACCTTGCATAAAACTAACTCAGTATCTACTTACCATGAATAAAACATAACACATGATTTTCAGACTACAAACTATGACACCATTCAATAACATCTCGCTAGGGCTATCACTGAGGCCATATTGCTGCCATTAGAATCAGACATTGACCTTGGCAAACAATATATTATTAAAATGAAAAAACAATGCTAATACAAATAAAATATCTAGTCATATGGCATGCTTTGCAGAGTACTAAATGGCTTGACCAACTGATATTGGGCAAGACCTTGCTAAGCATAACCTGTTTTGTGGACACTAACCTCCATCACTTAGCAGCAATATGTAAAAAACTTGCCTAATCCTGTTATTATGATAACATCAGGAACTAAGACCTGTGTGGTGCAGTTTTGAGATACAGAAACTCAAACCAAATATTTGGAGTGCTCCAAATAGGGTGGCATGCTGCCAGGTATTGATCTAGTGAACACAACTGCATTTTGCAAACTAGCCATGACTGCATGCAACTCAGCACCCATATTGTCAAGATTGCCACACTTCAGGACTCACAATTATTTGATGACTTGGTAAATGTCTGACATCTGACTGCATTTAATATCTAGCTTTACTAAGAATATCATCCAGTGGCTAGTTTCCTGTACACAAACCAACACACAATTCCAATTTTCTACCAATGGGCGATCACCAGTCACTGTACCAACACCCAGAAGATGTGACGGCCAGTTATGATCAAAGAACTACTACACACATGCCATCCATGACTAAAGCTGATAAGCCTACCTCTAAGGCAACTGCTTTATTAAGTGTGCCCAGCAAACTGCCCACACCTCAAAGTTATTAGAACATCGAACGCAGGACGTCCTTAGGCGGTACTCCTACTGGCAACGAAAACGTGTCAGGTAATGGTCTCCGGCGCACACGTCAGGAACCTGATCGATGATCCATCTCAGCACGTATGCCAACTTGACGTAGGCGAAGCCAAACACGATATTCCAGTATAAATCCACTAACCAGCTCGCCGTTGCTCCAGTGCCCCCGTCAGGAAAGGCTCCGATCGCTCCCAAAATGGCTACCTCCAGCATGCGTGAAAGTGATGCATTGTGGGTAGTGATGGAGAATGTTCGCCGCCGACACCGCTGGATACCCGTGCTTGCCCAAAACTAGGCAGACACACATGCGAGGAGATCTATGGCAGAAGAAAAAATGAAATCCAAGATAGGATCTGTTAAAAAATTGATCTCACTACAAATGATGAGCTAAAGGGTATATAACTCAGCAAGGGACATACCTTGAAACGACAAATGGCACCTCAAAGTCCATTTGCAATGAAATACCGATTGGCCTAAAAAACATACGTAATTGTCCGTCACTACGGAGGTGGTGCAAGCGGAGCATTGTAATCCACGGATCTGGGTTCGCGTCTCAGAACAGGCCAATTTGGTGCGAACGACATATTGGAAAAGTATGCTGGCAGCTGATTTGAGCTCATCGTCAGCTTATTAATACGATGGGGCTGTGTTAGCGCGGGTACGAATATATCAGAATGAACAGCATCATTCAGTCAAGCAGCATAAAAGTGGACGCTTGAGCCAAGGAGCGCAGCCAGACCCTTGGCAAGGGCGGGGGAGGGGGCACAGGATTGACAATGGCCCATGATGGTAAAAGGCCCCCTTAAAATTCGCCGGATATAAGCCCGTTTGGTATTGAGGACATGTCTTTCATGCACACACACACACACATATATATATATATATATATATATATATATATATATATATATATATATATATTATTAACCTCCTACAACTGAAATATGGGCCAGCCGCTACCGCGAGGTCAGTTCTGCCACGAGTTAATAGTAAATAAGCTGACAAAATCCAGCGTTAACTGACTGCATGAAATAAATCGCCGGCGCCACAAGGGGACCACAGAACGCCTGACATGGGACCCTATGTCGGCAAGGGCCCCGAGTCGGCCATGGTTCCGTTTCCTGAGAAGGGACAGGGACATGAGCCCGAATGTCAGGGAGCCTCTTAAGTTGACCGAGCCCGCTGGTAATGCAAGGAGATCGGGGAGATGACGAGGAAAGGGTTTATAATGAGGCAGTGAAAGGGCCCTGTGTCAGACACGGGCACAGGAGCGAACATGGCCCCGGACCTCCACCCCATTTCGGTCAGGGGGCCGATAAAACGAACTGGAGTCATCTGCCTATCATTGGACCCCACTGCGCTGGTGGCTTGGCGACAATTCCAGACCCACGTCAGAGGCATATCCACAATGCTTTTAAGCAATATGGTCCATCGTTTCAACGTGGACGGCTATCGCTCGCCACCTGTGTCGACACTGGCATGCATATGTAAGATGACGAGATGCATATCACATCCAATCATCTTGCAATCTGCCATTGCATGATCCGATGTTTCACGAATGCGGGTCACTGTGCCTTGATAAAAAAGAAGTTTGCCTGCTACTGATTTTACCCAGAAACTAGATCTATATACTCGTTCATATACCCATTAAAACTCGTGGCTAATTCCTGACGTCTTTCCGAGTTTGTATCCTATCTTGTATGTTTGCTTGTTCGTAAAATAGTGAGACATAGGTCATCTCAGCATTGCTTACAGAATGGAAGGTGATGCTGCCACAAGCACTGAGCCGAGCGTATATGCTGTAATAGTCGAAAACAGGGGACGCGTCATAGCTGGAATGGTATTCAAGCACCAGCAACATACTGAGAGACAAATTCTGGGATTTCATGTGTTTCTCAAATACATGTGCACCGTAAAACACTTCTCTAGGCCTATGAGCCGCTTATATGATCCTGGTCACGATGACAGGGAAGTATATGCCGGACTTTGAGTTCTCTTTGGTTGGAGTTACGGGTGAAATCATGACTTCAGCTTATCCTCAGGCGGAAATGAACCTAAAAAGGATGGGAAATACTAGCCTGGACGGACCAGGAAAACTATACAGTCATGCGCTATACCAACAAAGTAAAAGGGAGTGCTCCACATTTGCATGGGATTTTAAACTGAAACAGCATCTTGAGGATCATTCGGTGCGGTTCACAGCACTACCGTTCTTAAAAACTAAGCTCTGTAGTTTTCTAGCTACACGCCAGCGAAGATGTCCAGATCATTTCAGGGGCGCTATTTTAAGGTCACCCAGGCAGCCATGAAAGCATAATAACGTCATTCAGATCCCGCCGTTCAATTGGCGATGCGGCGATCAAGGTCAATACACATATCTTTGTCGAGTCGCTCATATCTGGCGTTCGTGATCGCGATTTCCAGGTATAACGGCCGTCAATTGGCTCTCAACTAATGTTGCGCAAGGTATGATGACAATCAAACAATGACGTATTAAGGAGCATTTTTATTAAACAGATGAATTGTGCTATGTAGAGCAGCCTTTTCCAACTTAAAAGTTTAACAATAATTAGGTTCGCTTATTGCATCATACCTAATCCGTGCTTCAATTTCTTTAAATGTGGAACATTCCCTTAAAAAACAATGACATCTACCAACAACATTTACTTGTCAGTATCTAAGTTTGGTCGCAATCAATGGCGTGGTGAGAAAATACAAAACATTTGCTTCGTCCGCTAAATGCCGCAGCCCACCGCCAGCCAGCATTTCAGGCAGGGCTGTTCGTGAGATAACGCGGCGGAAACATTCTGTCACTGGGCACCTTCACATGAAAAACGTCATAAAAACAGCTACAATGACGCGGCCCATTTGCGTTCTAAACGCGTATGGCTTCGATCGGTCAGGCTCTGGTGCCATCTTCATGAGTTTCCTGAATCATTGTCTGCGGCTACCTTGCTTACCCTGCACGGTATGCATGTCTTACTGATGTAATTCCCCTGGGTCACCCTTAGTTACGGCCAGGTCGAGAGTGAACGCGCGAGAGCTCTACCGCAGGATTAGTGATGACTTCACTATCTTTCGAGCACATCCGACCAATGGCTACAAAAAAATGGGTGAGGAAGAGGAAGGCAGCAGAGAAGCGTACCCACATTCGAACCCTCTTAGGTCATGCATCCGTTTGCATCCGTCTCACCCCAGTAACACCACGGCACAAGACATTTTTGCTGCAAGTTTCGTCTCGTGGTTTCAAGACCGCCACCATTTTTTTCAGCATGTGACGCATTATCTCAATTTGTTATAACGACGAGCTCGCTGTAATAGTTGTGTTTTATCCATTTATTTCGGATGTCTCGGGCCTTTTTTCAACACATTTAAAAGGTTTGTGTTCGCAGCACTTGCAAAGCAGTGCTAACGCCATGAATGTGCCCCGAAATCACCATCAAATATACCGATCCAGTTAATGAGATCGTCCCGTCTCCGGGCCTTTGGCCGAACGGACCTGCGGAAGGTCTTACACAGCTGCGCGGCGCCTCTGAAACAGCCGCCCAGGGCCAGGCTGAACTTCGGCCAGCTTCAGTTGACCTCTCATGCCAGTTCCCTGCGAAACAAAGCACCCGTTGTGGGACCGAACCTGCGTCGCCGGGTTACAAGGCCAACATCTGTCCTCCCCTCCCAGATCACGCACGGTTCCGCCGTTTGTATCTGCTTGAACAAAACTGATGAGTCTTTGGGTACCAAGGTCGTAGCGCGGGGTGGCTGTGTTGGGACAAAGGGCCTATGTCAATGCGTTCCTGCGGTCGGAAGAGTTTATGGTCGGGATGTGTTTGCTGACTGCCATCAACAGGCAGGACAGGAGTGCCCCTCTCACAGATTCCAGCGACACAATAGCCGCATATTGACAACAGAACACACAGGAACAGGTCACGGCACTCCGTGCTAAGAGGTGCAAACTAACAAAAGAAAGGAAGTGGGGCAGGCTCGGCGTTGGATATGAACAAAAAAACAAATGACACCAGAGAATAAGGTTAAAAGTAGTCATAATAAAACTTGGAAGATAAATACACTTCTAGTGCCAGCCAGGAGGTTTCAGCTTTAGTAGCGGACGTCATTCACACATGTATGAGGAAATTTTCCTGACGGAAAGCTTGAAATCCTGAGCCTTATCTCCAAGGAGTCCGGCTCCACAGGCTCCACCGGCTCCACCCAGATCAAATCATTAGTTCCTGCCAGAGCCATGACGCATGCGTTGCGGCCTCCTACAACTGTGGGTTGAATGTTTTGCTGACAGCGGTGACTTGCCCGGGGAGCAGTGCTAGCTGACAGTGGTGACTTGCCCGGGGAGCAGTGCCAGCTGACAGTGGTGACTTGCCCGGGGAGCAGTGCCAGCTGACAGTGGTGACTTGCCCGGGGAGCAGTGCCAGCTGAAAGCGGTGGCCTGCCCGGGGAGCAGTGTCAGCTGATAGCGGTAGCCTGCCCTGGGAGCAGTGCCAGCTGACAGCGGTGGCCTGCCCGGGGAGCAGTGCCAGCTGACAGCGGTGGCCCGGGGAGCAGTGCCAGCTGACGGCGGTGGCCTGCCCGGGGAGCAGTGCCAGCTGATAGCGGTGGCCTGCCCGGGGAGCAGTGCTAGCCGACAGCGGTGGCCTGCCCGGGGAGCAGTGCCAGCTGATAGCGGTGGCCTGCCCGGGGAGCAGTGCCAGCTGATAGCGGTAACTTGTCCACGGAGCAGTGGCAGCAGTGTTGAGCCTCTCCCAAAGATGATTATGTAGTTGGGGGTCAAATTAATGTTTATTTACCTGTTATTTCACAAACCCCTTTAAACGTTGAACAAATACGCTTACACGGTTTCGAAGGAGTTCCTCAGAAGACTTCAGGAGTGCCTGAAGGACCACTCAAACCATGGAACTGGTTGAAGGCTTAGATTAAAAAAGGCTTGAACAAGACTAGTGGCAGTCAAACCGCCAGGGAGCCTTTATCGCCAAGGAGCTTGCCAGATCATAGGACCCTTAACGACGCCATCGGGTCAGCTATGAGTTTCAGTCGAGTACCCCGGCACCAGACGGGTACAGAACTAAGGTCGGCAACGGGTCCCAAAACGGGAAAACAAAAAGAGAACGCCAAAAGATCTCCAGCATTTACTGGGCCACCGGGGCGATCAAGGGCCTCAGTATGGTGGACGGTACCGGTAAGACCAAGGGCCCTCAAACGAACAGGTGCTTTGCAAC